GCAATGGGATCTCTCGATGACGAAAATGCCAAATGCGCGGGGGCGCTGAAGAAATCACGCTCGCACGTCAAATTGTGGATCGAAAATTGCCACTCTCGGGGAAGACACTGACCCAGATACCGGCGTACATGGGGAAGGTCGTATGTAAACATATGTGTGTATACGTCGGGTCTACGTATATATATCTATATATATATATATAGATCGACGTGTCTGTACGTACATACTCTCGAGTGAATAATACTCGAGCCGACCGACGCGTGTACACGTGTGTCCCGCACACACGAGCATACGCGCACACGCGCGCGGCCCGCGGGTGGCGTATAAAATAGAGGTTTACGTATTTTCTTCTCCCGCTCGCACGAGAGCTCGCGTGTGCGTCGCGCCCGTTTATGTGCACGCCGGTAATGGCAATGTACGCGCACGTCGTGCAATACGTATCGCGAAATGTTTGCCACGTTGATTAACCACGCGATAGGGACCTTTGAACAGGAGCGAAATTAAATTTGGCCGCGCGCTCATGGGGTAAAGGGGTAACAACGAATGTCATCGCGTCTTTAGTAAAAGAAAAAAGTGATTGGGGTATTGAGATATAATATCGGTATTGTCCCAACGAGGGTGTAAGGAAGCGAATAAAAACCGAATGTTGCGCGACAATTACTTTGTTATGAATAGAATTTTGCGCCCGTCTTTAGAATTAATATATCAGCACAAGTTATTTGAGAGTGTTACCATCAAAAATGTTTTCCAATATGCTTGTAATGTTGCATTGTTATTACTTTTTAGTAACGCCACAAAATTCGCAAATGATCGAGGATAGTCTCGCGATAAGGATATAAAGTTGTCTGACGTATTTTATATTTACGCTCATATGGATATTTACATAGCAGCGACGTACACGCGCGTTTGCGTGTGTGCGTCAGCGCGTAAAAACGCAGTGTTTGTGAATGAAGTTGTAGTAGTGACGGGTGCACATACGTGCGTACGTAAAGTTATATCGATGACTCACAGTCAGTCTCGCTGACTCTCGTTACAACTCGCGCAATTTACAGGCGCTTTCTCAAGGGATCGTTGAACTCCACCGAGCACTGTCTCTTTCCGAGGTTTTTTCCGTTGACCGTCGTTAAGGTAGATCAGTATAGAAGTTAACGTCAATCATACATCGTAATTAGCGTGCGTAACGAAGAATTTTGAAAACCCGCGAAACTGAAACGGACTTGACGTAGTTGAAAAATGATGATTTGGAAAAAGAGAATTTATAACGGAAGTGTGTTTGGATATATATTTACTGAAATATTTACCGTCTTAACGCATATGTTACATATTATAACATGCGTTATCCCCTTTAAAGCGTGATCAGGAATATGAGAATTCAAATTCGTGCTTCTGCATTGATCAATTGAGGGCATAATAATTGCATTTTACGTTCAGTATGTATTTGTATATTCAAGAATAGATTCGTGGTTTTTCATTTTGGGCATAACAATTGGCTGTACATGAATAAATGAATCGTGGGCAAGATGCACCATGATGATGGCCGCGATAATCAATGGTTGTGGTTGATGGTATTCTACTGTCTGTATCAACAGTTAACAGCGGCAAAATGGCCATTTCGTGTTCCCGCTCGTCGTTGCGTGCCGATCTATAATTTAACAAAATGTACCGTTCCAAATGATCGATAGCCGAAGATAATTATTATTCCGCACTCACACACTCGCAAATACGACACGTGGGTGATGTAATTGTGTTCCGCTTTGATGAGCATCGACGAGGCGCGTAAAGGCGTGTTCTTAATTACAGAGCAGTGTGTGATAGAAAGTTGTGTAATATCTTTTTTTATAATCATTGTCGATGCAGTCGGTCTTATCGCGTCACATCTCTTTCCGTTTCAGATAAAATGAGGCAAATTGCGTTGTCGGATCTATGACCGCAACAACGCGATAATGAAATCGGTATAATTTACAATTCATACTTTATAATTCCGTTTTACGAGGCACAAAAGTGAGCGGTAAAAGATTAATATGCTGACGCTTTGCGTCGCGCGGTATTGCCAATAAAAGTTATTGTTATTGCGAACGATGCCGCTAATTTAAATATCCGCGTGCGCGCGAACGCGCGTGTTATATGTGCGTTATGTGGATATGTGTGTGTATGTGCGCGCGCGCGCCCGCGCGATTGACGTTTGGATGACGGACGTCACGTTATTCATGAATTATGGATACAATTGAAGCGCTTGATATCGCTGAAACGTCGCGGTGCGGCTTTTCCGCGTTCATACGCGGGCTGAAAGGAGGAGAGAGGGGAGTGCGCGCCTTTTCACGCTCGAGGTCGAGGCTTTTTGGCCGTTATCAACGCCGATAGATAAGAGCCTTCCTCGTTAATTAATGAATTAATGCCCTGGCAGATAAAATCGCCCGAGGTCGGGCAAGCCATTGAATCCCGGACTCTTTAATCCGCGTCACCGGGGGCAAATCGCGCTTTCCATGTGACGAAAAAAACTAAAGGTCGTGTCAGAGCGCACGTAATTAATTGCACAACAGATTATTGATTATTCGCGGACGTGTCGAGAAAGTTGAAGCGCGCGAACGATATAAGATAGCGACAAGAGTTTGCCGCTAATGACACGGTTTTTCTCAAAGATTATTTTTCTGCGATCGGGAGGGAAAGATAGCACGGTTATATTTGTTTGCTATAAGGAAGATTTATTTAATCTTCCCGTTTGAAGATAAACATGTATTCGGTTTGTATGTCATGCAACTATAATATTTAGATTGTTAATAGTTTGCCAGTATCATGGATTCTGGTATTGTAGATTTTATTATCATAATTATAGATGTGTGAAATTTTATAGCTTCACTGCTTTAATGTCAGACATATTCTTCACTATTATGTACGCATCTCGTGTTCATCGATAAACAACACGGAGGAAAGAACTTTGGCGGGATATTAATATAGCCGGGAATGTGAAGTTCGCGAGATTCCGAGGTATTTCTTGCTCGAGTTTGTAGAGAATATCATCCTACTCACATAACAATGTTACACGAGAGTATATCATCTTGCCGTCTCCAGGTCTGATTGTGAGTGGTAATTTGGTTTATGGGGCAACATTTGGATTGTATCCAGAACGCGGTTAGTGGACTCCGTATACTTCACGGAGACCTATTTTCTCCGGTGGACTTGTTGAGCGATATCAATGTTAATACATGCGCATCTTTTTAAAAGAAGTTTCCTTAAACGCGCATGCGAGCGTACATGTTTTAGTCTTACTATACTCGTTTTTCTAGTCTTTTCACAATTTATGTAAGAAATATTATCATTAATCATGTCGCAATATCTTAATCACAGATTTGCATGTGTAAAAAATTAGATGGTCCGACAAGAATCTTGACACTCGTGTACAAGATTAATATTTAATAAACGCTAATAACGATCTATGTACTATCAGTGCGTTACTTGTATAGCGACAATTGTCCTGTCCCATAAAAAAAATCCGTGTTACGCCAAAACCACAGAAATACACTACATGCGGATGACGTCGAGTCGGTTTCGCAAGTGGCTCGTAAAAATCTGAAGTGCATGGGCGTTTAAAGGGAGGTATAGTCTGTGTCGCCTCTTCGCGTCAGAGAACGCCGCCATATACGATTGTCTCGGTTAGATACACACGTTTGCGATATCCATCATATATCGCGTATCGATCATAATTTCTGTCGAAACGCGGAATATGGACGCGCGACCGGATAGCGACTTCGCAACGGCGAGGCAGGCAACGCTAACATTGACTCGGCATTCATGCATTAGCGTACGCCAATGTAAACGCTTTGCCTACATTCATGTGTTTCCTTTCCCGCGGCAAACGCGATCGATGGCAAATATTACTTTGGTCAATTCCAGCCGGCAGTCTATTTACTTGTTTGTGGTATCACTTTGTTGCGCCGATAGACAAAAGTAGAGAGAGCGAGAGAGAGAGAGAGAGAGAGAGAGAGAAATGGAGTGGCTGGTCAGGGGGAGGGCGCGGGGGCGAATACCGATACGGATGTGATTCCACGGTTTATATGCACGATGCGCTTTCGTGCATCGACTAGGCGCACGCGTAGTTACGAATACCAGATGCAGCCACTTATCTCCCCCAACGAACCTTTCGGCCAGTTAACTGTTACGATACGTATACGTGTAATGATGATGAATGATTCGGGATTAGTCTCAATTTCGGACTACTCTGAATTATGACTGTCGTTATGAAGATACGGAGAGAGGAGTGTTTTCATATATATATTTCATCACTAGCAAACACTATTATTTTACTATCTATGAGTAAAAATAGAAAACGATGTTTTCGAGACGATATTTTCAGAGTATTAATATAATATTGGACTATTTTTAGACGTAGCAAGTATTTTTAACACGTTTGATGAAGTTTTTATGAGAAATTACTTTCTTCTCAATATAAATAGTAGCAGTTTTTAATTAATTCTTTGAATGGTTTGAATATCGCTTTTTTATCAATGAACAGACAAAGATTTCCAGAACTAATAAAATGTATCTTTGACTACTAAATCTGTATATTTTCTGTAAGCATTAATTTGATAATTCGCATCATTCGTTAACTGCATTATTACATGAGCTCTAAAGAGAGGTCTTTTCTAATTGCCAATTTCCTAGAGTTGCAAACGCGTTTGAAATCGTTGCGGTAGCACCTCGACAAAGTCAATCCACAAACATGGATTACGCGTGCATTTTTAGAAACTGGAGTAACTCTCCGCAGAAACGAGGAAGTTTGTTTTACCATCGTCGGTTCGATCGGAACACGTTTATGCTTGGATGCGCAATAACGAAGCGATCGTTCGCGATTCGTGAAAACGCACGCCGATGGGATATTCGCTGCCAGGGTGATCGCGCGTGTGTGTTCGCATCTTAATAATCCCCGTTCGACCGGCTGATATAAGAACATCCCAGGCCGTTCGGCGTTGTTATTAACGACGCAATGTGTTTCTGTGTTTCAGGTGCGATGGAGTCTCGCGGAGCCGGCTTCTACTATGAGTTGAGGCTTCGTAATTAATCGTGAGTATATGAGTATTCCTCGTACATGTGTGCGCGCGCGCGTGTGCACGGCGAACGAATGCCGCGCGCTGTAACGAGAGTGCTGGCGAAATGATCGTTAAGCGATGCCCGTACGCACGTATCGTGCATATGTAATGTCCTCCAAATTGCGAATTTAATATCGCGGGTTTTATTGCCTCGCGCGCTCTCGCTTCCTCCATCCCGTAATTTACGTTCGACAATTATGATCATATTAATCGTGCGGCGCTCTCGCGGCTCATTAATCGCGTCTTCTTCCACCGTCGAGAAACGGTAGAAAGTCGAAATGGCCTGCGGCGATTTTCATAAGCGTACACGCACGCACGAGCGTTTCGTTGTCCGATCGTTGATCTTTTTCCTCCGCGTAACGAACGGTAGACGCAGAGAGAATACGGGTCACATTAATATTTCACTATCGGGTTTTCTATTTTTACACCGCAAGTGCTATGTAGGAACTTGATATATACACATATGTATATACCATGTGTCATATCCAACTTTTTTTTTAAACTTCTCATAAAATAGCGCTTCTTTGAACTTCCGATACGACTATAGAACACTATATAAAATGCATCAAACACGTGTCACGATAAAGAAACAGAGAGAGAGAGACAGTAGAACAGAAAGAGATAATACAAATTCCATTTTGTGGTTTTTTATGAAGCACTCTTCGTACTCTAAGTTTACAAACCAAATTAAAAGTTATAAAATATTGGTTTTTTTTACACGGATTACTATACACGATATATTAGGTCATTATGCTTCATTAAACATCTCTATCAGCGATTTTATTATCGAATAAAATTTTTAACGATTATTTGCGAATGTCGAGCATTTCGTTGAGTTTATCCGAGGTGCTCGCGCTACAGTCCGATCAGGTCCGCATTTATTCCCTGAATAAAGTGCTGTTTGAGCGTTAATATGACTTCATTCCGCAATCGATTTGAATTCGATTCGCCGCGAATGGAGGCGGCGGCGATTTCCACCGTGGGCGTCGCGCGGCATTCTCGAAAGGGATTACGGGCGCTCGGCCCGGCGCATTTCTTCGTATCGATCGCCGTCGCGAGTACTCCCACATAATTCGCTTATTACAGCTTCCGCGTATCTCCGCGTTTTCCCCACGGCATAGCCGAGTTCGCGGAAAAAGTATGCGCGCTCTCGGTCGGGAGGAACACCTACTCGCGTTCGTGCAATCTCGCTCGCTCTCGCACGCCACGTACGTTTCTCGTTTCTCGTGCTACGCGCTACGAGCATCGCCGCTATAATTGCAGCCGATGCGACGTATGTACGCTAGCATGACGCCCGGTCGCCCCGTTGGTTGCGTACGCGCGCGCTCCTCGTATTGGTGCACCACGGATGTGCATGTGCATCTGCGCGTGTATTCGGTGAATGCGTGGGGAAGTCCCCGTTAACGGCGCTGTAGCGCGTTCATGCAACCGTTGTATTCGCGCCAGTTCGAGAGAGATAGACCGAAGAAGGGAGAGAGAGAGAGAGAGACTGGTGTGCCCAATAGAGAGAGAGAAAGGGAGAGAAATATCGGCGGTCGTTTGAAAAAGAGAGAGAGAGAAGCTGAGAGCGAGAGAGCGAGAGCGACACACGGAGTAGTCGAGGGATGGTTTTGCTCTGCTGGCTCTGTATTGATTGCTGTGCTGCTCCTCCACCTCCACCATCTCTTGCGACGATCTGTCTCTTTCTCTCTCTCTCTCTCTCTCCTCTCTCCTTTCCTCTCTCCTCTCCTCTCTTCTCTACTCACTCCTGTTCCGCGATCCCTGCCGCCCGCACACCAACGCGGCCGCCCGTAATGTCGGTTCGCTCTCTGCGAAACCATCAAGATCCGAGGTCCTCGTTGCGCCACGTATCTCTTCCCTCGAAACGCCCCGACGAGAGAAGAGTCCGCCTGTAATTGACGCAGATAGGAGTGCCATCTGCTACGGCACGGACGGAGACGGGGGAGAAGGCGGGGAACGCGCGTAATGTCCGCCGTCCTCGGCGACGTGTTCCATGTAAGGATTCATTGAATGGGAAACTAAGCTTGGCCGCAGAGCGAGCGAACGAGCCACTCTTCGTGACGCTGTCGAGGCTCGCGTGCTTCACGTTCTGCGTCTCGGCTCGTCGTCGCACGTCGCTCGGACGTGTCGAGGACATTGTCACATCTTCCCGAATCTGTTTACCGAATTTGTCGAGCTATTTCGATAAACGTGCCTTCGTCAAATTTAAAATTTCGCCGCTCACATTTCGATCTCCTTGTATATTATAACGTTTTAATTATACAACGTTATCCTGTCGAAGTTATTAGGATTGCATCTCTATTACGTTTATCCACATCAACCTGCAATTTTGTGTATTAGAGTTTTATTGCGTCTCGTCCCTTTATTGTTTCACGTCCATCTCCCTTGCGAGCTTTTCGAAACGAAAATTCCAGTTCGTCAAATATTATTATATTCACGTACATCTGGTTTCATTACGGCAATTAACTGGGATAGCGATGGACTTGTTGTAAATTGGCGTTCTATTTAAATTCACTAATTACTGTTACGACATAACGATGATACGTTCGCTTCAGGATGAAACATTCATGTTGCAAGGTCCGCGTGTGGCTGGTAATGTTTTTCTTCCGAGCACGGGGGAATGGAATCGGATATAATTAACGTATATGGAAGTATTATCTGATGCGGCACAGTGACATCGATGCAACGCTCGTAATTATGTATATCTTCTCTGCGGCGTTGTCGCAGAATGCAGAAATGAGTTTACGTAAAAATATGTTAAGCCAAAGTTTTGCAGCGTACAGTCGGTTACGGGAAACAGGTATTAGTAATCATACTTGGCTTTGCTTCGAAGAACGTGTGTGGTTATCGCGTAATCTCACGCACATTTTTCTATCTCTGCGGTAAAATAGAAAAACATTAGACACAGATACCACATCGTGCATTACATTATTAATAAGGATGAACATGCGAATACGTCATTAAGCTGCACATTAGCAGTCAGGCAGTGAGAACTTTGTATTCTCGTATTATTAATGATACCGGGTGCATTTTTTTCCGAATGCTTTCTGAAAAATTAGAGTTTCGGAGTAACGTTCCTTCCGAATAAACTGATTTAACCAGCTATATCTCTGACTGAAGTCGAGACGCGAGATATTCATGGATTAATAAGGTCGAGATATTCGAAGCTCGAAAAGCGGAGAGGAAGCGCAAGAATAAACGCAATAAGTTGAAGTCGGACGCGCATTGTCGGCGCAGGAGGGCGTCGCATTTCGCGAACAAACGGCGCGTTTCTTCCTCGTCACCGGGCTCTTTTCTCTACCACGACAACGACCGTGTTCCAGGCTGGCACCCGAGCTTTTCCCGGCCGAAGGAAAGGAGCGTAATACCGGTCGAGAAATCGATGGTCGCGTCCGTGTCTTCCTTTTGCTCTCGGTTCGCCGCCCCCGCGTTCCCTTGCCTTAAGGCGTCCACCTCCCCTCTCGCCCACCTTTCTCTCGCCCTCGTTCCTCGCCCTTCTCTTCCTCGCCAATTTACGAGCATCTCGAAGTGTGCCCGCCTAGCTGAAAACCGGGGTGGCGTCGCCCGGATATTCCGAACGCCGTGCGGATGACGACGATGTCGAATCGTCGAATGGAGATCTCCTTTACAATGCCTCGGTATTGTCCGCGTATCGATATTTTATTTTCGTTGCACGTATTGCTTTAAATCACGTTAATTTAACTCCGATAATTAGAACTGAACGATGTTATCCAGTGACGTTAGTGAGATTTAAATTTTCTCTTTATAATTAGCTAATATAGAAAAGCATTATTTAAAAGAAATGAATGAGTGGAAAATACTGCGCACACTTTTGTTGTAATACGTTGATTAATTTTTACTAATTTATTGTCATAGAGGAGGATTTCTCTGACAATAAATTCCTTCGGCTATCACGAATAACATTGATATTTTGTAAAAAAAAGTTGAATATACGCTCGTGAAGGAACAATGAAAAATATTGATATGCTTAGTTATAAGCATTCCCACTTGCGCGAATTTTTCGTGATGTACACAGGAAAGAAACTCTTTTGAAGAGATTGATAAACGAGCCGTGTTGCCGCAGCAGTAATTGCGCGAGCTCGGTTATACCATGTTATTCGGCGCGCCCGGGAGACGCGTCTAATTATACGTTCCTCGGATGTAGGTGATAATTTCGACCGCGGATTCTGATACCTATCTCAGCACCGCGCGCACCACTATATAAGAGTTCGGAAATTATCGAAAATTGTCCAAGTTCTGCATTGAAAGGAACATTCGCGGGAACTAAAGTATTTGATTTAATTGTACATCACTCTCTCTTTCTTTACGCCGTTAAAAAGTTTAGATGTCGTTTGTATAATAAACTTCAAAAATGCTCAAGATCGCACCCCGAATTCTCAATTTTATGTAATTAATGCGTCTATTGTGTTTAAAAATAGAATCATTGTGATTAAACTGCGGCTTTATTATTAAAGCTGAAGCAACTTTAATTGGAAATTGGACGACAGGAAAATTTGATAATATCATGAGAATCGATATTACTTCGACAAGCGTCAAGTGTGACATTTCTGTTTTTAGAATTCGGAACGTGTTCATCAATAGGCAAAAAGTCATACTTCTGTCACATTGACAGATCTTATTTCTAATTTTAAGAGAAAAGATAACACGTAGAAAAAGCATTTATTTATACTCTCTATCAAGGCAAGAAATTTTCCCAATGTAAAGTATAACAATGCAAATAATATATCGCAAATTGTGTTGGAAAATATAAAGTACAAATTTTCAGCGAAAATAGTAGTCATTGAAGTACTAATTTTGATACTTAATTGAGATAGTTAAAGATACTCTAATGATTGTACGCGCGAAACTCGGAATTTTCGTTAATTAGAGTCTGCGACTTTTCGCTTTTAGTTACCAACACACACAAGCAAAGGGGAGTAGTAATAATAGCAATAGTAGAAGATATTGAAAGGCCGCGCTTTCCTGTCACAGTTATTCGGAGGATAATTTCCGGCGACAAAGGGCTTCTACGCGGCTTCTTTTGTCAATTACAAACGAGAGAGGCTTCGCACGACATCACCATTCACAAATCTGAAAGCGCAGTAAGAGCCATTGTAAGAGTTCCTTTCTGTTAACTGCTTGTGATGCAAAATAATCGCGCAAATTCTATATATGGATATTGAAATATCACCGCGATAACTGCTTACTACAATGCGGCATGCATAAATATCTGGTACGTTGCTTAATTGAGTTTTTCCGGAGTTAAATAATTATAAATGAATACCTGTTTAATGAACAACTACATTATTGATATTTGTAAACTGTAAAGGTGGTACATTTATAACAATGTTATGAATAATATTTTATAAGTAGTAACAATTTAAAATTTATGTAATGCATCTCCTATACATTTTTGTATATAAATGGACTTATTTCATTCTATAAGAAATCGAATTTTAAAGAAAAACGATGAAAAATTGTAGTACATTATTTTTGAAAATGGATTTTAAAATGATAATGTAGATGAGAAAGTGAGAAAGAACACGATTTAAAACTGTATAGGTATATATATATATATATATATATATATAAACTAATTCTTTTTTTAACTGTGTGTTAAATATATCCACACATCCTAAATGTCTAGGTTTAAATATAAAAGAGCCATTTTACGATGATCCTCTTAGAGCGTGGCTCATAAAAGTAAGAGGAAGCCAATAAAGAAAGGATACGCGGAAAACGTAGACGCACGCGTTTAGAAATATCTCTGAAATATTTAAATCGGATTATCTTGCTTTCTTTCTTTCGCCTTAGCGATATGCCACTCAATACTAAGTGCTTTCTTCATCCGCCTTCTCATCCATTAGATTAACGAGAATAAAGAACGCGGAATTATTTATATACGTTACTTTCGCCATCATTCAACGGATCGATCAACGCGACCCTAGAAATCCTGGATGCTTTGCGAAGACTCTCCAATAAGACCGTTACGAGCCGATAAGAACGAGGGGGGCCAACTTGAATCAATACGTCGGTCGCCGATAACGATCGCGTGACGACTCGTATAACACGGAATGAAGGCTATTGTGTACCTATACCAGACCACACGGTGAATTTTTCCTGTCCGGGGACTCCCGGGTTTATTCCGGTTGTGACACGATAGTACGCGGAATAGGAAGTGGGGTGTATGCATTAGAATTTTTCTCTATCGTTGCAGCGAATAATACATTCCGCCGGAAGATAATCGATTAGGTAAGCGTCGTCGCGCGTGTAAATTTTAAAAACAGAGGTTGACCCGCGTCTACGAATTTCGGTGTGTTACGTAAACGGAATATGTTCCTCGCATCGGCGGAGGATACCGGTCGTACACTTTTTTTCCCCATGCAGTATGAAAATTCCGTTTTCAATAGAATCAGGATTAATTCGTCGAGCACGGATTCTTTCGCGTTTGGAAACGCATTCCGCCCGCGTGAATAGCGGCAGAAAATGCATTGAGACGGCTCGCACCGCGGCGTACACGGCTATATTTAAGGACTAACGAGTTAATAACGGTAGTAAATGCCATTTCAGCATTCCATTCGAACTGAGAATCCGTTTATCGCTGAACGACGCACTCCGTGCTTTCTGAAATGACACTCTTTAAAGGACGGGAAAAGAGAGAGAGAGAGAGAGAGAAATAGAGATAATTCCACACATAGGCGTATGCTTGACATAAAAACACTCGCCGTATCAGTACAGATATCAGCGAAACGTCACGCATGGCTAAAGCTTGGATTTCCAGAGAAAGATACGAAAGGTGAAAAATCATCTCGCTCGAGGATTAATTAACGTAATCGCGGCGACGTTAATCTTGCTTCGTCTCGCGGACTCGTGCATACGATAACAACAATGCTGGCTGCATGATAATAGCTGCGCCGCCGCCGCCGCCGCCGCCGCCGGTGCATCGTCTAGCCTAGCATCAGCCTAACCTAACTCAACGTTGTAACGATGTATATTTATACAACAGCTGGGCGGCGGAGGGAGGGGAGTGCGCCAGTCAGCTGATTGAAGCGCTGGAGGGGAAAAGATGGAGGGGAGAACGACCTTTATTTAAAGCGCCGCTGGAGGAAGCCTTTCTTCGACTGGTAAACAGTCGTCGAATGCAAATGCGTGCGAGCTGCGCTCGTGTGCGGGTGCGTGTGTGTGCGTACTCACGCTCGTGGTGTGTAAACGTGACTTTTTTTTCTTCTTTGTCGAGAAATATTTCCACAAAATGCATTTTCCACGGTAATCTGCTTAACAGTTTGCCGACTGTTTGAGTAGATCTACCCGTCTCGTGATTTATCACTGACTAAATAATGGATAGACCTACCTGTTTTGTAGGTACTACGCCATTCTTCTGTGACCTTTAATTAGTTTGAAGAAGCCGTACTACAAGAAATTTTTAAAGAAAAAGAAAGAGAGGAAACCTTTGAGGATACAGAAAATTATACGATGCCCAGCGCGTAAGTTAGTCAATGCGTAACTTGCGCGGTTGGCAGAGTGTTAATTGCCGCAATTAGGTGGAGGAGCCTGGAGTATCTCCGAGGCGACGATATTCCCATATTGTAGAGGCTATTGTACGCATTATATAGAAAATTATGTAGGAAATAAAGGCACTCTTCTGGTTCGATGATTTTCATCAACATGATTATTTAAAGAAAATTTGATTACTCCTTACGATTACAAATTACGCTCATGATGTCGAATTATTGAGAATTTAATCGAGTATTTTATTTCAGTTTACTGAATTCGTGTAGCTAATTCTCAACGTACAATTTAAATTTAATTAATTAACAACGTTTTTTTTATGAGAAGTTACGACTTTGTTATGAGCTTGTTAAATAATATAGTCTATATAAACGCGTTAATGAAAAAGTGAAAAATGTCTCTGAAAGTTTTATTAAATCTCGGAAACCATATATTTATTAAGTAAACAAGTATTTTTAATCCTTTCCGTTACAGCCGGTCGATAAAGCGCGTTCTTCGTCTCTTTCTCTCGTTTTTCACCTCGAGTAATAATCTCCCGCGTCGCCGAGGCTGCACGTCTCGCCAAAAATTTCGCGCACCGAAATCTCGATGCACCGACTCCGTCGTAAATATCGTGTGCGAAACCTGTTCCGTCTCCTCCTTCCCCTGCCCCCCCCCTCCCTTGTCGGATTTTTCGAGATAAAGAACGGGCGAAGTGTGTGCCGGAGTCCTTGGCAATGCAGCGTCGCGTCGCGCGTCGGTGCGGACTCCGCGCCGAGCGTTGCGCGTGAGAACGTACTTCTGTAACGAAACCATGTGCGATGTTTCAGGGGACTGGCATGGAGAAGGAGAACTCCGCATCGGGCGGGGGCGGCGGAGGCGGCGGAGGTGGCGGAGCTGAAGCGACGGCGGGGACTCCGGGCGCCACCTCCACCTCCGAGAAACTCCAGGCGGACCAGGCCAATCCGTTGCTCGATCCTACTGCACTCTTCGGCGGTAAGTCATTTTCGCTCGTTCTGCTGCCTTCTTTTTTCGGGGGGGATTTCTCTCTCTCTCTTTTCCGCTCGTTCCGACCGTAAAACTATGTGCGGACGCGCCACGTCGCGATAAGCGGCATCGTTATGCGAAGCGGCGAAGTCGGGCGAAGGTAGGTCGCGGGGGAAGAGAAGTCCGATAATAGAGGGAGAGCGTTCTCCTCCGCGCTCTAATGGTCGGGATTTTTTCAGCGCCAGGCTAGCTCTATCTGTAAAATATCCGACATCTACATTGTAATCGGTTATCTTACGATATAACTCCGTCTGACAGTTAATTATACAGGCGGGGAGATCGGCAGAAAATAGCGTAGCGTCGGAGGTAACAGGTTCGAAAGGAGCAAACTCACGTGCGCGAATGGATGAACAATGCGAATGACTTTTGTATCGGCGGCAGCAACAATGGCGTTTTGTTCATTAACTTAATGATCTCGTTTGCATCTCGTAACAAGTCCTTCCGCTTCGTTCCTCCAAACCCGATGATGGCCCTCTCCCTTTGTTTTTCTAATTTAACCGGCCCGGTTTTCGGGAGGGCTCAGTTTTATTCGATCCGCGCGATCGTACGCGATATTGTTTAGACGAAACGGGCAAATATTTTCCGTGTAACGAACGGCTTGTGGACGCGCGTGTTCGGTATTTCGAGAGGGTATGCACGGAGTTCCGACGGCATATTTGTCGGCGTGAATTATGATGCTTGTCCAGGAGGAAGTTTACTCCTGGCCGATACCGATTTCGGTTGCCGAAGCACGTTTCCGCGACGGGCGACGAAGTCGACTTCGCATGATCGGACCGCGAGTACGTAAGCTGACAAATTGAAAAGTGCAACAAAGAATTTAAGAAGTAACGAAAGCGACGAGCGTTTTTTTCCCGCAGATATATGCGTATCTTTGATGTTCTTTCTCAAGATACAATCGCAACTTATCGCCACGAGTCATTCTATGTGACGTCCTCTCTTCCTTTCTTTTATATACTTGTTGATCAAACTTACAATTAAGTTTCATGTCTATTTATATATTTTAGATATATTTTATTTTCTCAACCAATATAATGGGGCAATAAGGATGATAAGGCTTGTCGCATGAATAAGTTCTCTAATGAAATCGGGGCTCAAGTAAGGTATATTTTCACTAATCTAAGGTTATTCTCTCCATGTGTGTGTGTATATACCGCACCGTTACGACGCGCGTTGCACTTGCCGTGGATTTACAGGGTCGTTCGAAAGCCGGACGCGTGATGCAAAGCGGGGCCCAATACGCTCTCGCGCGTCAACGCGATATATATCAGTGCCGCCTTAACGAGCGAAGGGCCTTCTTTCTCTTCTCCTCCGTCCCGGCCCGAAATCAATTAGTCCCGCGCGCGCACATCCTACCCAGCCTTTCTCTCCTTCCAAGGTCATCGAGGCTCCTTCCGTCGATCCTCGGCCGCTTCCTCGCGACAAAGGAGAGAACTCTGCGCTCCTCCTCGTCCAGACTCGGTCCGAACGCTGCGTCTAGATACATTGCTCTAAACTTTTTCACCCTCGCCCAAGTGAGAGCCGTATTCAAGTATGAGATGGAATCGGTTGGCAAATTGAGATCTCTCAATGGTTCTCTATAAAAGTCATTTAATCTTGAATTTTCAAAGTCAGTCTGTGTGTGGCGACGCTTGTATCTTTTTTAAAAATTTAGCTAAATATAAATCTAAAAATAATTATATTGGACCATTCGAATAATTATATAACGTAGAAGCGATTATGCCACGAGTTAACAGTTATAAATTAATAGAGCAAGTTTTTTCATGGTATAGATAATAAAGTAGTAATCGCATTTTAATGATACATATGAATATAAACTCAATTTGCGTTATGATTTACAAAAAGGATATATAAGTATTTATTTGTCTGATAAATCACATGCGTTTCTTCTATACGAGAACGGAACAATTGGCCGCTTAATGCAGCCGGGAATGCATTCTGCGCTCCTCATTTCTCGACTCGTCTCGATTTCATCTCGAAAGGCTCTCTCGTTCCCTCGCTAGGCAGGATTTTCGTCGCTCTCCACGAAGACGGGACCTCGTCGTTTATTTCGTCCCTTCACCTTCGACCCGCCGGTCCCTCTTCGTATTTCCTGGACCGCCATCGAGCCGCGCACTCCTCTCGGCCTTCGGGTGGAACTTCTCTCTCCCAAGTTGCCCTCCGCTGCGTTTTCTGTCTTCCTCTCCCCTTCCTCCGCGCTAGCCGGGTTTCCTGTCCATCGCTGTCATCCGTCTCCGTCTTCGCCGGCGACTTTTTTCGTCCACGCCATCTCGCTCGATCCTTCGCGCCGCGTCGCTTTTTCTCCTTTCTCACTCCAGGTTTAGGTCCGTAGGGCTTTGGGGACGCAAGAACGAACGAACGAGCGAGCGAACGAACGAACGGTCGGACGGACGCAACTGGCGAGGTGGCTCCTCTCTCTTTCTCATCGTTCTCTCGCTCTCGGTCGGTCGCCGCTCGTTCGTTCGTTCGCTTGCTCGCTCGCTCAGTCGCTCGGCCACCCTTCGTCTCCCTCGCTCTTCGCCGGTTCTGTATATTTATTGATTGCCACCTCACCTCGCCTACCACGGGCAGACCGAGGTCTGTGGCAGTTTCCCCACCCCTCTCTCTCACTCTCTCTCTCTCTCGCGTTTCTCGTTTCCCTCGTCCCTGCCTCATTCTGCAGCAACAGCAACAGCAGCATCGCGCGCTACGAGAAGCCTCTGTCCCTCTTTCTTGCTCTCTTTTCGCGCTATCACGCTCTCTTCGCTTCCTCTCCTCCCCCTTCTTTCTCGCTCTTTCTTTTGGCTATCTCTCGTTTGCGCTCGTCGACCCACACTACGTCCTGTTTCATTCGAAGCTGCATTCGCCTTCTCTTTCACGTCCTACCTTTATCCGCGTTTCACTCTCTCTCTCTCTCTCTCTCTCTCTCTCTCTCTCTCTCTCTCTTTCTCCTTGTTTCTATCTTTCTCTATCCGCAACCCCGTGGTGCTTTTACCTCCTACGCTCGATACAAACTCGTTGGACGCGGCAGAATTTTCGTTTGAAGCTACCATCCGGGGTTTGCGATATATACCCACATCCACACCGCCGCGTTGCCGCTGCCGCCGTCGCCGCTTCCTCGTCTTGACGTCGACGTCGACCTCTCGGCATCGTTAATATCTCGAGGGCGGAGAACTCGCGGCGGTATCAGCGCCGCGCCGCGGCGAGAGTGCACCGTGAGATGAGAAGACGCCGTCATTTAGGCAAAGTAGGAAAACGGAAAGATCTGTGCGGGTAAACGATACTTCTCCGCTTTACTGCAGTTTCTCTCCTCCGTCTCCATTATCTTCTCCTCTCTTGATTCCTTTTCTACGATAATCGCAAGGAATACGCTCGCGCGCGCACTCACACACACTCACATTCTCTCTCTCTCTCTCTCTCTCTTTATTATGCGCCAAATTAGTAACAGCATGAAAGAACGCACGTGGAGAACTTCGAGTACGGATAATGATGCCGCTATAGAGTTCGACGATCGAATAAGTGACGTTTCTCGCGAAAGTCCTTGACGGAGTTTAAATTTCACAAAGTGCCACATTATACAACATTAATGACACTACGGTCATTCGGATGTTATTGTTTGTTTTTTTCTTTTTTTCATTTCTTCATCGGCAACACTTTGACTTTTCGCTTATCGGGGCCTTTATCGCGCTCGTTTGTCTCTCGCGCATGCATCATCGTTAGCCTGTGTCGTACGTCGCAAATAAAACGCTGTCATTCGTGGGAAATAAAAGGCGAAGAATCGAGCGCACAGGAAAAAATTACTGTCTCTCTTGCTTCTTTCTCTCCGTCCCTCCGCCTTGTTCGTTCTTTGTGTTCCTGTTGCCTTCTCTGTCTCGCTTCCCCTTCCCCCTTTCCACCCCTTCTCTCTCTCTTTCTCTCTCTCGTCGCTCGTTTGCGATTCCATTGCTCTGTGACCCTTCGCGACCTGACGGTTTTACCACCCACACCCGACACGAACACCGCTGGGCGAGCCATGGTCTCCTCTTAAAGCTCGTTTGTTGTCGAGCTCATCGTGCCGCCATGCGCGCCGGCGAGAACCCGATCGAAGACGCGAACGGAGACGCGATTAAAGTGTGAGTGAAGCAATAAATCCTAGTGAAACATTTGCAGTATTCTCTATGCGCGCTTAACACGAAAAAATGTTCTCTACTCCAGATTCGAGTATTGGCTCTTTTCTTTTTCCAAAATTGTATATCGCTTGTGAAAATGGAATGCGCTATCTCTCGGAATCTCTGACGATAATATCATCCGCTTAATACGTGGAATACGAATTTATTTCGCCAAAAGTACGATCGAATTGCAGTTGATGCAAATGCAGAGATGGAAATTGGACTTTTAATTTAGCATGAAATGCGCCGTAAAAATACGCGCTACGGATTCGTATTTTTATCGCGTGCTCAATGTTAAATAATCCATTTAGCGTATTAAGCATTGTAATAATTTACGCTATTGATACAACGGTCCAGGAAAAATGGGAAAATGTTCGAATTGTTTTTAATTTTAGTCTTTTTGAGAGAAAGAGAGAGAAAGAGAGGAAGATAAATTCGCATTTATCCAACCAGCTTCATTTCATTTAGGACAATCGTTTTACATACGTAAATAAAAAGAAAGAAAGACACGAGTAGTTATACAGCTATTATAGCAGTGTCTACATAGATTACGCGTTATTTGCATAGATTACATCTAGAACGATCATTTGCATAGTTTATGTATACGCGTAAACTATTGTCGTTTACGCGCGTGCACGTGGCCGGTGCGAGAGAATGCGTGTAAATGCGAGTACATACTTTAACTCGGCACAAATGACGCCCCTCTCGTTTGTACGCGCGCGTGAGCGATAGTATATGTCGGACTCACACGTGGCCGCCGGCTACGTATGAACCAGGGGTGTAACTATCATGTAGCGTGAATAAACAAAAACCATAGGAACCCAC